AGTCCTTCCGGAGAACCAAGAAAATTATCTGTAAAGATTGGTCAGTTCCCGTTGGTGTGCGCAGTTGGATCCACAATCTACAAAGTTCAAGGCGAGACCTTAGAAGCTATGGTTGTGACGGAGTGGCGCTCACAAATTGCGATTACCAACAAGAAAGAGCAGCCATATTTGCTTGTATCTCGCGTGACTTCAAGAAATGCGTTTGCTACTCTTGAGCCGATAACTCCTGAAATTGTTGCTTGGGCTCACCCGAGTAAGGAGGCCTTGGAAGAAGAAGCACGATTAAAGGTATTGTCCGCAAAAACAGTAGCTGCAATGGACACAGAAGATTATCAACATTCTCGAATTTAATACGGTATTTGCTGCAATACAGCACATTAAGTTAAATTGAATACAATTTATATCGTACAAAATTTCATCAATATGATAAGCTATAAACATGTATACCGAATGCTATCAAGAGATGTGACACCCGAAAGGCGGCCAACTCTGAGACGCTGTGTTGTCTACATGTAGGTTGCTTTTCACCGCCATGCTCGTTATGGAAACGTTTAAAGTGATGCCAAATTGTGATTTAACATTAATAATTTGAATCAACTTATAACCCAACATTAAAATTGTAAGTGTTCAGTCCAAATTTCAGGGTCTGAGCTGACAATACGGATATATTTCGTCTACTATGAACCGTTCTTATAAATAGATAATACTTGAAGATGCCCCGAATTCAAAGTGATTGAGCGTGCTAAATCAGCTTGTTATGATTGCCTCGGTATTGCCGTGATGATGCTGTATTTGGAGAGGATTTCCCATTCCCATTCCAAAAGACAAACGATAAGTGGCTTGTTTTCAAAGAACATGTTGGTGGTGTTATTATTGCTTATATCACGTACTGTGGACTCTAGGCAAAGTTTCCAAGATGGTTTGGAAGAAGTGATGGGCCTCGTAGACCCATACACCGATTCAACCCGCTAAGTCGCCTGAATTCACATTTGATTGTAGTAGATACGACTTTGGACTTAATGAAGCTACAAGGGTATTTGATATCGTATCTGTCGATTGCAAGAAATAATGGTCTTTATTTCGGGACATTCGTAAAAATTAGGCCAGCATCGACAAATTTGACCAGATATCACAGTACGTTGTGCGAGTGACTGCAATGTGTGTCATGCCATGCCACCAAAAATCAAGGCGTGGTATTGTGTGTGACCAGATATCACAGTACGTTGTGCGAGTGACTGCAATGTGTGTCATGCCATGCCACCAAAAATCAAGGCGTGGTATTGTGTGTAGTGCTGTCAACGTTTAGGGTCCAAACGTTACAAACAGCTTAACCCATTAACATTAAAATTGTGTTTGAAAACGTTTGTAAA